AAATTTCGATGCTTCCAAAACTCAACTGCTTTCATTTAAGAGAAACTTCCCCGTACCCCATCCGTCAGAGTGTCGCCCTGCACCTTCTTGGCCTCACATTTTCCAATGAGTTGAAGTGGAACAACTATATTGAAACAATAGCTGCATCTACTGCAAGGAAAGTCGGTTCATGAGTCGTGCAAGAAGGTTTTTCCTCATCAGAGTCCATCTTACACATTTACAAATCTACCATTCATCCATGCATTGGATATTGTTACCATATCTAGTCTGATGCCTCTGCTGTTTATTTCGAGGTTCGCGGCAAAAGCCAAAGAAAGGTCCACAATGTAATCGGTGCTGACTTGACCTCTCGACTACATGAATTTAAGCGTGCTACTAGATTGGCATATAGGTCCCATCCTTTTAATGTTGAAACCGCCATTTCTACTCCGGCAGTTTCTTTCTCACGCTTCCCGCTAGTGGAACTCCCTCTCACTTACTTCCCTGATAACTACAATCTTCAAACATTTAAATGCAACGTCAATACCATTTTCTGTTGCCTTGATCCCCGTTCTTCATTTATCTTTCTCTCATTCCCCTCTATACGCTGTCTTTCCCTCATTTTCACTCTTTGTACCCCTCCCTCTTCATTTCACTCCTTGCTTGGGGTGAAATGCTTAATATATATATATATATATATATATATATATATATATATTTAAGCTATGAAGAACTTGGTAATCCGTATGGGTAATCCCAAGGAGGATAAAATCCTGAGAGCTCAATGTAAATCCAGAGCTAATATTTAAAAGAAAAACAGACCACTTTTAGGTATCATTATAATAAAGTGTGTGTGTGTCTCTGTGAGTGTGTGTGTATGTGGATGTAGATGTGTATATATATATATATTAGAAAATGCAGTTTTTTGGTTTTAAAAAAGAAAGAAGGGAAAATAAAAAAGAGAAGAAAAGGGGAATGTATAAACATAAAAATATCTATCTATCTATCTATCTATCTATCTATATATATATATATATATAATGTGGCATATCTTCGTTCAAATGTGTTTCATTGAATAATATAAACATAGTGTGTCTACTTATTTTTATATGGATCCTTTCCAGGGGTCTAATCAATTTCTGATGTAGAATAAAGAATTTTAAAAGGTTGATTTCAACCTTTTAAAACTCTTTATTCTACATTCGACATCAACACTTGATAAGACACCAGAAATGTTGAAACAAAATGACTACTTTTGGAGTGATTTTATAACATGTTTATGTCATAATTTACAGGTTACATTAAAAAACGACTGACAAAATCTTGCGGTTATGTTTTTTTATTTAATTTTTCTTATGTTCTCATATTTTCTTTCTTTTTTGGGACAGATATTATATCGAAACTGTCCGGATGTTCAGTATATTCTAGGGCTTTTGGCTATTCAAATGACCATCATCAAGGATGTTTGCATTTGTTCTTTTAAGTGAATGTTAAAAATAAAATCATACGGACACAAGAAAAATTAAATAAAAAACATAACTGAAGTGCCTTGTCATATTGCTGCCCAAATACACAATTATATATATATATATATATATATATATATATATATATATATATAATTATTTATTTAAAAATATGATTCCAACTCGCGACATAATAATTATATTTATAATAATTATATTTATGCTCTACTTTTGTATCGAGCACACTTTTTAAAAAAATATTAACTAAAATACTAAGGAACTTTGGATTATTTACCTAACCAGTTCCTTCCTATTTTCTATATATTTTTACACACACACACACACACACACACACACACACACACACACACATATATATATATATATCAATTAGGTGCCAAGTGACACCTTAACCCACAGCAGCAGAGATGTTTCTTATTCATGACACCATGATAGAGCCTAACCCTTTACAGAATTTAAGTTTTCTTTCTCCTAGACTTATTGCCAACCAAGGTTCCCTGTCTGTCTCGCTATTCGCTATTTGCCTGTAGCTCGTGGTAATAGATAATATATTATCTATAATAATAGATTATCTATAATAATATAATAATATATTATGTAAGGTACCTAAGGTTATTAGTACAAACCTAACTATATATATGTGTGTGTGTGTAAAAGTTCGGATAGTTTATATCTGTAAAGGACAATATGAATAATGACAGAAGGAAACTTATCATAGCCGGCGCGTTTCGTCCTCTATGGGACAAAAATCAAGGCAAAATAAAATCCTTACATTTGCTTTGTCTCTCAGTGGTCGAAACTCGTCGACTAAGATAAGTTTTCTTATTGTATTTATTCATTAGATTTAAAAATAAGACATATCTCTTAAATCAAAGAAATGAACTAACCGTTAACTGTAAACATAGCTATAAATTTCTTACTATAGGGGTAGTTATACTTTCAACGATAAAGATATGTTACTGTAAGTTTATTAGGTTATTACTTTTATTACCTGATGGTCCGCCTGTCGATGTGAGTGTGTGTTGGTGTATGTGTATTGTGTTGTTTGCGTCTGCACGTGTGTGTGTGTGTTTACTGATGGATGTATATATATATATGTATGTAGGTTTTTGTTTTTTTTTAAAGAAGGGAACAATAAAAAAGCGAAGAAAAGAAATGTATATATATATATATATGTGTATATGTATATAATTCTATTTGCGTGTAACTCTGTATGCATGTATATGTCTAAGTGTATGTATGTGGGTATATATATATATATATATATTGTTGAATGTGTGCGTGTTTGTGTGTATATATGAATATCTGTACCTATATTTACATGTGTGTATATGTGTGTGTGTTTGTGTTTATACCTGTTATATGTTTGCTGGTTTGTGCGTTTGTACGCTTGTATATGTGTGGGTGTGTACACTTAGGTATGTGTTTGCATGTACGTGTATATGTGCATATGTATACATATATATATATATATATATATATGTATATATATATGTATATATATGTGGGTGTATATTTGTATGTCTTCGGATATATATATATGTATATCTTCGTATATATATATATATATATATATATATATATATATATATATTAAAGAAAAACAGACCACTTTAAGCTTATATTATAATAATTTATTTCACCAGAGCCCTTTTAAGGGAGGCTGAATCATCAGATAACACTATATATATATATATATATATATATATATATATATATATATATATATATATATCTTAGTGTCTTGGAATGTATCATCAATACTAACTAAAATCTACATTGGTTTGATAAGGGTTTTATAATTGCTTATAGACTTAATAATCAACTATTGTGTCTCGTTAGATTTTAATCTTGTATAGACTTTACTCTCCTTTGTCATCACTAAGATAATATTATTAGAATATGTGTATTTATTTGCGTATATATATATATATATATATATATATATATATATATATATATGTGTGTGTGTGTGTGTGTGTGTGTGTGTGTGTGTGTTATATTTGCGCTTGTATGTGTTTTTATATATATCCGTGTTTTTTTGCATATGCGTATGTGTGTATATATGTATGTTTTGTGTTTTCTATGTGTGTGTGTATATATATATATATATATATATATATATATATATATATATATATATATATATATTACATTTGGTTTGTTTACTTTTTATGTAACTGTGTGTGTTGATACATTTATTTTTGCTTCTGTGTGTATATATATGCATATGTGTGTGTGTATGTATGTGTGTATGTGTATATATGAATATATATATATGGGTATATATGTGTGTATATGTTTGTGTGTAGGTAGGCTTTTCTGTGTTTCTGACTGTAGTGAAGAATGTGTGTACATATATATCTATATGTATTTTTTAATTTCTTTCACATATTGTTATATATTTGTACTCGTGTATGTGTACTAGTGGGTATATAGGTATATATATGAAATATTTTTTATATATTTGTGTTTGGGAGTTTTCTTTTCTATATATTAGATGGTGTTATTTTTATGCGTATATATCTATTTTTCTGTCCATGTCTATATGTTTTAGTGTCCTTTCCCCCTAATGTTTGTTTTTCTGTTCTGCCCATGGTGAATTTTATCTATTCAACCATTTTTATATATATATATATATCTTTGCCCGTATAAGTTATATTTTAATAGGATGTTAGAATTCGTTTAATAACACTTTCAAACTTGAATATTTCTTGGTGGGTGTATCTGCGTGTCTTTGTCAATGTATGTGTGTGTATATGGTCACTCGTGTCTACCATTCATTGTGTATGTATTTTGTCGTTTGTTTTTAAGGGTCGTGGAGATATTTTTTGTCTCGTCACTTTTTTGCGTGTTTATATATCTAAATATGTCTGCGTGTTTGTGTATTATAATCTGATTGTGTATGTTTTGTGTTTTTCAAGATTTCATTCTCCCTTGCCCATGTTTTTGCTTCAAATGTTGTCACAGTGTTCAGAGCAGCATTAGATCTTGACGTTTATTCCAACTTAATTTCAATAAAAACAAAATAAATAGAAAAACAAATGTATTTTTTTCCTCAGTTTCTTCTTTAAATAATTTTATAATTTTAAACTTATGAATTAAATTTAAAATTGGTATTTTTTAATTCTAAATTTTATAGTATAATTTAATATTTATTAGTTAGAATGAATTCTATTTTAGTCTAATCCTAACATTAAAGCATTAAATAATTATTATAACCTAAGTCTTTTGTCAAGTTTTTTGAATTCTCATATATTTGTATTTTGATTGGTGATTCCAGCTTATGTAACAGCGTTTCCCCTTAGCGAGGGGGTGTTTGATTGATTTGATCCTTTTAAAACCCTTTATTCTACATTCAACACTATCACTTCACGACTGATGCTATTTTCCCAGCTCAGTTTTTGGGTACCTTTTTCTAAAACTTAGTAACTTCCTTGTTAATAGCTTTAAGGTACATCTACGCATCGATTTTGTAATGTTTACTCGTCTCATCTGCTTTGATAAATATTTTCTTGGGGGTTTTGATCATAGAAATGTCATTTATCATCTTTATCATCTCTCTCTCTCTATCTCTCTCCCCCTCTCTCTCTCCCCTCTCTCCCCCTCTCTCCCCCTCTCTCCCCTCTCTCTCCTCTCTCCCCTCTCTCTCTCAACATCTCTCTCCTCTATCTCCCCCCTCCCCCCTCTCCCCCTTTCCCTCTCTCTCTATCTCTCCCCCCTCTCTCCCGCTCTCTCTCTATCTCTCTCTCCCCCTCTCTCTCCCCTGCCTCTCTCTCTCTCTCTCTCTCTCTATCTCTATCTCTCATGTTATAACCTTAAAGTCCGTTGTCAAGTTTTTTTTAATTCTCATATACTTGTTTTTTGATTGGTCATTCCAGCTTATGTAAGCGTTTTCCCCTTAGCGAGGGGTGTTTGATTAATTTGAACCTTTTAAAAAGCCTTTATTCTACATTCAACACCATCACTTGAGAAGACACCAGAAGTGTTGAAACAAAATGACTATTTTTGTAGTGATTTTATATCATATTTGTCTTATAATTTTCGAATAAATATTTATATATATATATATATATATATATATATATATATATATATATAACATAACATAGGGCGACAATCTTTGAAATGAATTTAGAAGAAACCAAACCTGGTAATTCAATAATTTTGTCTAAGATTGTTTCATGAGGATATATATGTGCTCGGTCCCGTTAGAACATATGCGATTATGGCTCTCCACAATTTCCTTTAGCAGTTTTTTCTCCCTTTCCGTCATTCATTCAAATAATCCCATTCTGTAAGTGGCTCCCTGCCTTGCCCTATTTTTCTTACCTTCAATACGCTCTGTGAGTGTTAAGTTTACTATGCCCTCTTTTCTCGTTATGTATCCAAGGGATTTCTTTTGCTTGATTCCTAGCAACGTATTTGTTCATTTTCTTCAAGACTTCCTCGCTGCATACTCTCTCCGTCCATAGAATTGTCAATATCCTTCTGTAGAACCATATTTCAGTTGCCAGCAGTTTCCTCCTAATCCGCGGGGAGATTGTCCAGCATTTACTGCCATATAAGGGAAGGGATATCAAAGAACAATCAAGCGCCCTTTTCTTTGTTTTTTGACGAAATTTTCTTTCGTTTCTCAGCACCTTGCCGAACTTTTGGAATGCTTCTTTCGCTAGTCCAGTTCCTGTTTGGTCGGGTCAGCGTGTTGCCTTTATCATCCTTTATTGAAACGCTTTCCCAGATATTTAAAATTCTGCACTCGCTCCTTAATTTTCACATATTCATTTTATGTCTCGGTTTATGTGTTTTTAATTACAATTTTATACGAGTCCCTTTTTTTTTTCTAATATTGATAGGAATTTCCTTCCAATGTTTTCGTGTTTGGTAGCGTGTAAGCCTAGCACCATGCTTATATCATTATTATATCTTTGATATTTTTAAATCAGTTTATTCCAACAAAGTTGATAATGCCCCTAAGACGCATATGGTCACTGGCAGTGAAAGAGAATGTCAAGATTTCGCGAGGAGAAAGGACAATAAAAGAACGAGTTTCAAAAAGAGAGAACTTACGGCCACATCGCTTTCCGTACGATCACCGAAGTTAAGCAACGTCGAGTCTGGTCAGTACTTAGATGGTTGACCGCTTGGAAATGCCAAATGCTGTAAGTTTGGATATGCAGGTAGTATAATAGACTTCGGGGACATCTCGTTGGAACATCGGTTCCAGTGCGATCACCGAAGTTAAGCAACGTCGAGTCTTGCCAGTACCGAGATGGGGGACCATTTGGGAATATCACATATTGTAGGCTTGGATGTGCAGGTAGTATAAAAGACTTCGGGCCCATCACGTTGAAAGATCGGTTCCAGTGCGATCACCGACGTTAAGCAACGTCGAATCTGGTCAGTACCTAGATGGGGGACCATTTGGGAATTTCACATATTGTAAGCTTGGATGTGCAGGTAGTATAAACGACTTCGGGCACATCACGTTGAAAGATCGGTTCCAGTGCGATCACAGAAGTTAAGCAACGTCGAGTCTGGTTAGTACCTAGATGGGTGACCGCTTGGGAATGCCAGATGCTGTAAGCTTGGATGCACGGGTGGTCTAATTGAGAATATCTCAGCATTGTTAATCCGATAACCGAGTTCCAATTCCAGTTGTGTTCATTATATTCACTTAAGCGTATGTATCCACCTCTTCTCCACAAACTATAGTTTAATTATGGGTCACGATCATGGAAGTTAAGCAACGTCGATCCTGGTCCGTACCTAGGTGGGTGACCTCTTCGGAATTCCGTCTCTCAGCACCTTCACGAAGCTCTGCGTATCCTTAGCGGGCATCACGGAAACAGGTAATAAAATTAAAATTAAAAATCATTAAAATTTCAACTGTTGAAATCTTATCATTGTGTTAGGGGGTCCACCCCTTCTTCATACAAGTGGACCCGACCAGTGTGTACTTGGACTGCTGCCGTTAAATACCCAGAGTCAGTCAAAGCAGAGGAGATTGAGATTGTGAGTGAGTTGGAGGTAGAGTAATAGTGTGAGGTAACCGCTTGTAGAAGTCACAGTTAAGAACACGTAGACTCTAAGGAAGTCCTACTTCGAGACTGGATTTACCAGACTGTATATATATATATATATATTACTAGCAGTAGAGCCCAGCGTTGCCCGGGGATGTAACAGTAAGAGATAGATCAAGTATCGACCATCATAAAGACTGAAAAATAAAATTAACAAAGATTATTGTTTAAGGTGGACGGACACGCATGTCTTAATTATTTTTTTTTTTTTTTTTTTGGTCAAACCCAAACTCAAACAAAAAATATTGTTTTCAATCGTTATGAGTCTACCGATTGAATAGAATTTTATTATAAACAATTGTCTTGTAAATGGAATTTTTAAAGCATCCTGAATGTAAAAATAAAAGAAAAAGTGTGCAAGACATTAAGAAACACTACCTGCCAAAAAAAAAAAAAACATGAAGTTTTGTTGAAATCGGTTGAAAAATGTAGGAAATCCGATCCCATATATAAACGAACACACACACACACACACACACACACACACACACACACACACACACACACACACACACACACAACGTGGGTTTTATAAGTATAACTCGATATGAGTTGTCCCCCTTTCATTCCGCGAAAGTGATGCCTCTTAATCGTGTTTTCAAATTGATTTTGTGCAAAAACAATTGTGTTTTTCAATTTTTGGTGTTGTGAGAACCACCGCAAGGTAATTTTACGTAGTCCTGTGAAGTTTTGTTGAAATCGGTTGAAAAATGTAGGAAATCTGATCCAATATATAAACGTACACACACACACACACACGCACGCACGCACGCACGCACGCACGCACGCACGCACCCCCCCGGGTTTTATAATAAGTATGATTATTAATACTACCCGCGTTTCTGGATCTATTAACCGTATTACCAATTGTATTATTGTGTAAATACATTTTGTCATTCATTGGAGACTGAATTTTATCTCGGAATCCACCACATATTGTCCTTCGATAAACCTTATGAACCGTCTTCCTTCAAAACGTGGTCTATCTGCAATTTTCCTCTCCTTTGTAGCTCTTAATAAATTTTGTCTTTTTGTTATTTCTTCCAAACCCTGTTTCACCATTGATTTATTCAAGCTTATTCTTCTTCCTCTATATGCAGTGTGCCTTCAGGGCGTAGGCGATCATGGCTCTCCACAATTTCCTGTCATTTGTAGCTCTTAATAAATTTAGCCTTTTTGTTATTTCGGCAAGCCCTGTTCCGCCATCCATTTACTTAATCTCACTATGTCATGCATTTGTTTACCTCAGTCCCTCTTGCCTTCAATTTCTCCTGTGAGTATTAGATTTTCCAAGCCCTCTTTCCACATTATATGCCCTACGTTTCCTTTTTGTTTCTATTTTCTCTAAAACTTCGCCGTTGCTCAAAAAACTGTTCCATGATATCCTCAGCCTCCATTCGTTGAACTACATTTCTGTAGCTTCAAGTCTCTTCTTCATTTTTGAAGAGATTGTTCTGCATTGATTGCCATATAGGAGGGCAGAGGTCATGTAACTGTTCAGTTGTATGAAGAAGAGACTCGAGGCGGCGGAGATGTGGTTCTACAGAAGGATGCTAAGGATATCTTGGAGCGAGCGTGTGAGAAACAACGAGGTCTTGGAAAAGATGCAAACAAGGAGGAAGCTTATACTTAACATAATAAAGAAGCAGCTGAAGTATCTGAGACATGTAATGAGAAAGGAGTGTCTGGAGAATCTGATACTCACAGGTCGAATAGAGGGTAAAAGAGACAAGGGAAAGCAACGCATGTCATACCTTGCGGGCTTAAGTAAGTGGACTGTAGAACGTAGTCTGGAGGAGTCGGCAGAGTTACGAAACGTATTGAGATCCACAAGGGATAGAGGGAATTGGAAAGCCATGATCGCCTACGTCCTGAAAGGACACAGCACATAAAAAGAAGTACATTATTTACATTATTCGGACTATTGTCCTCATCTTTGTCGCCATATTCATTACAACGTTTCGGCTGTTGTGCGCCCCGGCCTTCTTCAGGTGGTTAGAATGCCGAACTGAGCCCTTTATTTTGCACAATGGGATAGACTGTTCTAGTTCCACGTAACATGTTTAATGGATGCCAGTTATCTCCTGTTAATTCTTCTCTCCAAGTTCTCCACTGCCTTAATCGGGTATTGAACTTACACTCCTTGGGTCCTGACTGTGTATCTAACTAACGCCTTTATACACTGTGCCATGTGTTCTTGAGCATACAACGGCCGAAACGTTGTAATAAATATGGCGACAAAGATGAGGACAATATTCCGAATAATGTAAATAGTGTACATAACACCTCATCTCAGAAATATAGACAGATACTGAAGGGCCAAAACGTTGTGATAAATATGGCTAAAAAGATGAGGACAATAGTCTGAATAATGTAAATAGTGTACGTAACACCTCATATCAGAAATATAGACAGATACTGAAAGGCCGAAACGTTGTGATAAATATGGCGACAAAGATGAGGAAAATAGTCCGAATAATGTAAATAGTGTACGTAACACCTCATATCAGAAATATAGACAGATACTGACGAGCCGAAACGTTGTGATAAATATGGCGACAAAGATGAGGAAAAATAGTGCGAATAATGTAAATAAATTCATACGTAACACCTCATATCAGAAATATAGACAGATACTGACGAGCCGAAACGTTGTAATAAATATGGCGACAAAGATGAGGAAAATAGTCCGAATAATGTAAATAGTGTACGTAACACCTCATATCAGAAATATAGACAGATACTGACGAGCCGAAACGTTGTGATAAATATGGCGACAAAGATGAGGAAAATAGTGCGAATAATGTAAATAGTGTACGTAACACCTCATATCAGAAATATAGACAGATACTGACGAGCCGAAACGTTGTGATAAATATGGCGACAAAGATGAGGAAAATAGTCCGAATAATGTAAATAGTGTACGTAACACCTCATATCAGAAATATAGACAGATACTGACGAGCCGAAACGTTGTGATAAATATGGCGACAAAGATGAGGAAAATAGTGAATAATGTAAATAGTTACGTAATACCTCATATCAGAAATATAGACAGATACTGACGAGCCGAAACGTTGTGATAAATATGGCGACAAAGATGAGGAAAATAGTCCGAATAATGTAAATAGTGTACGTAACACCTCATATCAGAAATATAGACAGATACTGACGAGCCGAAACGTTGTGATAAATATGGCGACAAAGATGAGGAAAATAGTCCGAATAATGTAAATAGTGTACATAATAACTCATCTCAGAAATATATACAGATACAAAGAAGTCTTTTCTTTGTTTCTAACGAAGTTTTTCCTGTTTCTTAATATGCTGCTTAGGTTTTGGAAGACATCTTTGATTATCCCACTGTCGCACTTTCCGACCTCCTTTTAAACACTTTCCAGATATTTAAATTTTTGAACTTCTTTGGTTTTGGTATCTGCAATTTGTAATTTTTTTTTCACAGTTGATGCTTAATTCTTTCTTCTTGCTTCCTTTTTCTACATTCTGTAAGAGTTGTTTTCTATTTAGTTTTCTTACCGTGCCTGCTATCAAAACTGTGTCATCTACATATCTTACGTTGTTAAGAATGTTGCTGCCATTAATAAATTCTAGTAGGATTTCTAATTCTCTCAGAGTTACCTCTTCACTGTATAGGATGAATAGTTCTCTTTTCCATTTTTGTTGATATAGAGTTATGAAAAAAATTTAAATACTCTGTTGTAATTCAACGACCGCAGGTTAGATGATTGACGAACGGCCATCTTCCTATAAATATTACTTTAACTTTTAACCTAAATTTCTCCAAATAAATAATGAACCTGTCAAATTTTGACTTTTATTGCGATCATCTCATGTCTCTATGTTACCTTTGAAAGCTGAGATACCGGGCTCACTTTAACCTTAAATACTTGAGCCAAAAGGTCAATTCAGTAGTGATCTCACGTAAACTGCACGCGTGTCAGACGCAAGGTTGTATAGACGCGTTATTCGCCATGACAACATGAAAGCTGTTGAATTAATTCTCAAATTGCATTTTCAAAATGTGCTTTCAGATGTTGAGACTGCCGCTATACAATCTGAAAAAGAGTGAATTCTAAAATTATGGTGAGATATACAAGATCTTGGATTAATGAAATAGACACACGCTTTCTATTAAATAAATATATTGTAACATCATTTAATATAATTTGTATAATGTTGCTAATTACGGTGTGGCTGGGTATACTTTTGTAAAACTATAATAATGACTGAAATTCTTTAGGTTGCTTACTTGAATAAAAGCATAATTATATATATATATATATATATATATATATATATATATATATATATATATATACTAGCAGCATGGCCCGGCGTTGCCCGTGCTTGATTCAAAAATCGTACGACTCATACAGCAATCGCTATCACTTGACTTAAAATATTTTTGCCTTTCCTTGCCTTTAAAGGAGTGCCCTTTGCCGTGCTGATGTTGCTACATGCCTTACTTCTTGCCTATCTCACA